ACTGGAAAGACTGAAGGTTTTTGAATGAACTCTGGACTAATATCAGGTAAAATGTTGCCTTTCAAAGTCACTAACTGTTCCTTGCACCAACTGACTGAGTTTGACATACAATAGATGATGTTAACAAACAAAATACAAGCATCTCACCCTCAACTGTTATGAATTATTGTGGAATGTTTTAAAACAGTGTAACTTATATAATAAAGATATAATCCAAAGTGGATATAAAATGTGCAGCATGTGGAAAAAAAAGAGTAGGCTTTAGAGAAAGATAAAGTATCTTATGAAAGGTGGTAATTGTCTATGGTGGGTGATTTGCGGGCTTTTAAGAGTGTAAGAAAAAAACCTTTTCAGGAGCTTGATGGGTGGTGGTAGAAACAGTCCTGAAGTCATTGACCTCACAGCATGAGTGTGAATAGACTGTGATGGGGGTAGATATGATGGGTGATAGGAGGGCAGTGGTCTATTGTGTACAGTTGTTTATGAAAACACTGGTTACTTAGTTCTACTGCAAAAGTTTTAATCCAGTAAGATTTGCATTTGTGTTCATCTGTTTCTGATTACAACCTTCTACATGTCAGAATCACTTTATTTCAACAAGTAATTTACACATACAAGGAATTAGTCTTGGTGAGTCACACATGTATAACATGTAACATGCTAGACAGACCAGACAAGAATACAGACTGTTAATAAGTATTCAGCTCAATGAAAATTAATATAACAATACAATAAACAAGATAAGGAATAAAGAATAATAAAGTGGTGGAGCTCAAGAGAAGTGTTAATATCTGTACATACATCTGATACATACTATAAAAACTATTATAGACAGAATATTACAGACTGATATGAATATTTGTAACTAAACAAGATGGTTATGGATGATGTGAAGATGGTTACGATGATTACTGTGAAGATCTGGATCATCAGGCACTGCTGCAGATTGAATATCTCAGGAAAAGCATTTACTGCTGGACTGCTGACTGCTGGATGGAGAGTCTTACTTCAGATCCCTGGCGGTCAGTCAGAAGAAAGGGAGCAATGTTTCCTGTGCCACTGGCTTCCATACAACCCCATACCATAATAGATCATTAACAATTTTGTGTACTTCTTTTCACTTCAAACATTATATCATATAGTTAGCATTTCCCATTAGACCTGGTCCAATATTTTCATGGTTAGTTAGGCTAGCTAATAAACCAGGATTAATTTATCATAGGTGGTCACCATTCAAATCTAGACCCCAGTAATCTTTGTAATTACAGATATCAGACATTCAGTTTATCACAAAGATCTTACAAAAGGCAGTAACTGACCAATTCACTTTCTTTCCTAAGAGGAATCAATATACTTGATGTTTTTTCAGTCTGGGTTCAGGAATCCTCACAGCACTGACACTGCATTAATATACACATGTGGACAAAATTGTTGGTACCCTTTTGTTAAAGAAAGAAAAACCCACAGTGGTCACTGAAATAACTTGTAACTGATAAAAGTATTAATAAATAAAAATGAATTATGGTTCAACAGAACTAAATAATGAAACTGGCCTGGACAAAAATTATGGTACCCATAACTTAATATTTTGTTGCACAACCTTTCACTGCAATCAAGTGATTTCTGTAACTCTCAATGAAACTCCTGCACCTGCCCACAGGTATTCTGCCCCACTATCTGTGAGCAAACTGCTCCAGCTGTTTCAGCTTCTTCCACAGATGTTCAATAGAATTTAGACCCGGGTTCATAGAAGGGCACTTTAGAATAGTCCAATGCATTACTCCTAGCCATTCTTGGATGTTTTTAGCTATGCGTTTTGGGTCATTATCCTGTTTGGGGACCCATGACCTGTAACTGAGACCAAGCTTTCTGACACTGGGCAGCACATTTCACTCCAGAATACCTTGATATTCCTGAGATTTTGTCATACATTTCATTTCATTATTTAAAACAGTGTAACTTTAACATTCTATAAACTTTTCACTCTTATTTTGCCCCGGTCCCTACTTTTGTTTTAAAGAGGGTGTTACAGGCATCAGATTCAAAATTTGTTCATATTCATAAAACACAATCAAGTTGGTCAGCCAAAACATCAAAAGTCATTTCTTTGTACTTTTGTCAGTAAATAATTATTCAAAACAATGAACAAATCACAGATTCTTGTTTTTATTGCATTTTATAAAGTTTCCCAACTTTTCAGAAATGTGGTTTGAGTGTTATTTGATCACCAATCACCAAAAGCTACGCCAGTAAGGCACCAGGTTTTGTGGAGGAAAGCACTTAAAGATGGTAAAGTTTAGATGGGGGTTGCTGCTTAGTTGCTTCTAGATTAAGAGCTAAAGTGGGTGATTGGGGGCTTTTCAACAGGGTGAGAAGAGAGCCGTTCAGGATGGCCTGGTCAGAGAAACTGTCCTAAAAGCTGATGGTTCTTGTTCTCACTCCCACTTCAGACAGCATGAGTGTGAAGAGAGTGTGAGTTTTCTTTCAGAGGTTTGTGATGTATGACTTATAGTGGTAAGAGGGCCTCAACCTTCTTTCCTAGAACAGTGGATTGTTCCAAAAAAAAACAAAAACAAACATGAACAACCAAGAGTGCCAGAGTTCTCTGTGGGGGGAAGGGTTTGGCTGTATGATTGTTCCTGGCTAGCTCTTGTGGCCAAACGCTGTAAATCCTGCAAGCTGCCAAAAAGCATGTATTTCCATAGAGTTTCATTCAAAATAACCTTTTAAAATAAGGTGGTGGGACTTCTGTCATGGGCCCCAATTTTTCCTGCTGAAAGAAAAGACCCCATGAGTCAAAGATGGCAGCACATACTTCTAGGTGTAAATGCATCACTGAGCAAATACCAATGAGAAAAATAGGTGCTGATTAATGATACATCCATCGTTCTCTTGCTCCCCTTTCTCTCCCTCTCAATTTCAGTGATCCTAATCTGTTCTCAGTGTTGAAGACTGAGAGTCTAAATGCTGATAAACATTCTTAGAATGTAAAGTTGGTTAGTTATTGTTACTAGAGACTCAATAATACTTCATATACAGTCAAATAATGAAATAGAGGTGTTTTCCTGTGTCACATGTTCTCGTCTATTCTGTTTATGCAACAGTGATGTGAACCACTTTTCATCTATTATCTATTATCCAATCCTAGCACAGGAGGTGGGGTTTTTCAGAATATGGGTGGGGTATAAATAACACCCTCAAGAGCTGCTGTGATCATGTGGTTCCAGTGTGACGCCCCTTGCAGGTGCTGTTGTACTTGCTCTGATCAGCAGTCCAGGCCAGTGTTGTTTGGCAGAGGGACAGGAGCTGCACTACTGAAGGTAAAGATCTTTTCAACACTTTTTTGGTTAACATTGTGCTTTTAATTGACCTTCTTGGAGAGATGTTCACTCTTTGAAAGTGGGATTTAAAAATATCACTCAACACTGAAGGAGCTTTTGTCCAAACTGGTACTGCTTGCTCTTGTGCTTGTGATTTGATGCTAATTGATATTTTTGTTGAGTTTGAAGGTTTTGTTGATTCTTTATTTAAGATTCTCACTATATATCCTCAAAGTATGTATTAGCATATTAACTGTGGTAAGTGTAGCCCTAGGGACATTTTTGTGGGCTATACTTGAATATATATTGTTGTATTTTTTTATTTTTTTTTGCATGGTAAAGGTGTTTTGTGTTAAAGTTAAAAGGGTTGAAAAAAAATTAAAATTAAAAAATTAAAAATTTGCATAGACGTGTTTAAAAGATTTTAAATATATTTTCCAGAGTTAAAATTTGATTTGCTAAATATAGTTGTCAATCATTGTTAGGTTTTGTACTCACCTGCTCATTGGCTCTGTGTCGGAGGGGGCGGGGAGTGCGTGTAGGAGAGAGAGAGAGAGAGAAAGAGAGAGAAAGGGGGTGGGGAGTGCAACGCAGATGCCCCGTGCTGGGATGTAACGTAAAGCACGAGAGTAAACAGTTTGGTCTCGAGGCGCAGCTGGTTAGCATAGCGTTAGCATAAGCATCGGAGCCTACTGCTTAGCGACGGAGTTACCCGGAGTTTACTCTCTCAGTGAACGTAGACAAGCAGGACTCGGTAACCGTTCCCGTTCACAGATAGGATACTACCGGGAATGTTCAGATCTCCTCTGGCAACGTTGGACGCCCCATGCTGACTTCACCTCAGACATCCCTCCCTGCTGTTCGCCCATCCTGGACATTGAGTGAGTCGTGTAATTTTCTTTTCTTTACCCTGCGTTAAGCGCGCGAAGCGGCCAGGTAGTTTGAGGCCACACCGAATACAAGCAGCGGTTCGGGCCCGCAACGCAAGTACACAAAAGGAATAAATAAAAACCAAGGGGTACCCCATATTATTTGTGTTTATGAACTTCCAAAGTTCCAAAGGTTTTTTGTTTCGGTGTTACATGATTGTTTGTGGGCCCACAGCAGTAATGTAATTTGGTGATTCACTACCCATTGGTTTAACTGCTCATTATAATATTCTGCAATTTCATTTCTATTCAGGTAGTTATGTGAATCTAACTACAAAAATATAAAATTCATACAGCATAACTAAGGGATTTGTTTATGGGAAAGGTGTTAAATATATTAGCTAATAGTACTTCCAGTCACTTGGGTTTTTTTTTTTCTCTCTATTTCTGATCATTTCTGTGTACACATTATTGAGTGGGTTCTTGTACATAATAATAATCGAGTATTACATTTGTAAGGGGGTGTCATAGCTGAGGTGTGATACCACAGGGAGAGTTCGTAATTTCATTACAGTGGTAATTACTTAAAGGTGTAAATCAGTAGCTTACTAACCGCTCTAAATTACAATTAGTAGTCAACATGAAGAACTCACCTCACTCATAAAACAAGGTCATGGGTCTGAGGGGGCGCTACATAAGTAATCTTATTTATGGAGATTAATAATGCTGTTTCATTTTAAACTTCATTTTAAACGAGCTTGATGGCTGGTGGTGGAAACTGTCCTGAAGTCCATGATCTCACAGCATGAGTGTGAATAGACTGTCATGGGGGTAGATATGATGGGTGATAGGAGGGCAGTGGTCTGTTGTGTACAGCTGTTGATAAAAACACTGGTTACTTAGTTCTATTGCAAAAGTTTTAATCCAGTAAGATTTGCATTTATGTTTATCTATTTCTGATTACAATCTTCTACATATCAGAATATTGACACATACAATGAATGTGTCAACAGACTTTTAGTAAATATTTGGCTGAAGGAAAATTAATATAACAATACAATAAACAGACTAAAGAATAATGAACAATAAAGTGGAGGAGATCAAGAGAAGTATGAATATCTGATACATACTACAAAAACTATTACATACAGAATATTACAGATTGATATGAATATTTGTTACTAAATAAGATGGTTATGGATGTTGTGAGGATGGATTCAGTGATAGCTGTGAAGATCTGGATCATCAGACTCTGCTGCAGATTGAATGTCTCAGGAAAAGCATTCATTGCTGTGCTCTCGGCTATGGAGGGTTGCTCTTCTCTTCAGATTCCAGGCGGTCTGTCAGAAGAAGTGGAGCAATGTTTTCTGTGACACTGACTGCCATACAACCCCAAACCGTAATAGATAATTAACAATTTTTTGTACTTTTTTTCACTTCAAATAGTATACGAGCCTCTTCCATGTTTCACAGTAGGTACAATATTCTTTTCTTTGTATGCTTCATTTTTGCGTCTGTGAACACAGAGCTAATGTGACTTGCCAGAAAGCTCCAGTTTTGTCTGATCTGTCCAAAAGACATTCTCCCAGAAGCTTTTTGGCGTGTCAGTATGCATTTTGGCAAATTCCTGTCTCGCTTTTTTATGATTTGCTTTCAACAGTGGTTTCCTCCTCAGCCGTCTTCTTTCTGTGGTCCATGTTCAGTGTGGTACACACCATGATACCAAACAGCACAGTGACTACTTTTCACCCTTTAAATAGTCAGACTGACTGATTACAAGTTTGAAGACACCTGTGATTCTGATTACAGGGCACAGCTTAGTTTAACATGTCCCTATGGTCAAATTATTTTCGATCTTTTCCAGGGGTGCCATCATTTTTGTCCAGACCAGTTACATTAGTTTGTTTTTTTTAATTATTCTTTTGATCCACAATTCAAAGCAATGTCTGATTTTCATTAGTTGATTTTCAGTAATTTTTTTGTTGTTATTTATTATTACTTTTATCCGTTTCAGGTTATTTCAGTGACCATTGTGGGTTTTTCTTTCTTTAACGGAAGGGTACCAACAGTTTTGTCAACGTTTGTATATGTTATCATTGGCAGATACAAAAGATACAAATGATCAGATATTGTGAAATTCAGATTTCTGCTTTCCAACCAGGCAATAAGCTCACAGAAGAAGACGTGACGTAAACATGATGTAAAATTGAAACTTCATGCCACGGCTTTTTTTTGTTTTTTTAAAAAAACATTGCAGCACCTGAAAATATGAACATGCATCATCTAGACGATGAAAAATATTCAAATCTTTCTTTTCGTCAAGAAAGTAGTTGGTTTCAGCATCGCTGCAAAAGTGTATTGCTGTCATCTCACAGCAACACTGCTTGCTTATTTCCGGTACTGTGGTCTGTTTTGCACATGCAACTGAGAAATACTAAAGAAATCAGAGTAAGAGTTTACATGCACTGAGAAATCGGATTACTGAGCTAACATCCAGCTCTTCATCAGATTTCTTAATTGGATTTCTAAACGTTTCTCTGATCTAAGAAATCTCAGTGTGCTTTTTACATGAACATTTTAACAATCAGATAACTGCAGAAATATGATTATGATCGAATTATTGTGTGCATGTAAAAGCAATCACTGGCTCTAAGAATATCTGAAATTTTACTATTTACTGAAGTCTTGGTGGTTATTCTGTTGCCCTAAGAACTGTTACAGAACTCTGCATCACAACTGGCTGTGAATTACTTATATGTAAAACTGCTATTTTCAAGTACAAACTATTGTCAAGTTTAGAAATGCAATCTGCTGAGACATTAGTATGTCTTTATTACTTCAAAGGTGGATTTCTTTAAAAAGCTGAAGAAAAGGCATTTGCGTGCAGAGCACCAAAATTATGGAATAATTTACTAACTAATCTTCAAGACTGTTACTGTAGTAATTTATGAATCTAGGTTAAACTATTTTATAATTGAATCTTAATGAAGGCACATCGTCTATAATGAGAGGTCATCTTTGTCTGTAAAACGACCTTGTAAACCCAGCAGCCGATACAACCTTTTTCCACTTGATTATTTTAAACTGTGTATTATGTTTTATTTAAAACCTAAAAAACTTTAACACCTAAAATTTTTACACTGAAAGTTTCTTGTATTTGAAATTACATTTTATATATGTATATTTTCTTTTTCTCCTGCAGGAAGAATAACATCCTTTTTCAAGTCATCTCCTGCTTCTAGTGTGAACCTTTTTGAACACATATGGACCTGCTAGAGGAACACTTCTGAAATCCAGAGAGACTTAGTAGGTAACAAGAAGAAGCTCTGGTACCCAGCAAATATTACCCGATACTCTCCAGACTAACATACCTCACAGAAAAATGCAGAAAAATACCAGCAAAGAGAGGAATCACCACTGTTCTGAGTGTGGAAAGAGCTTCAGTATGCGTTCAAACCTTCAGATACACCAGCGCATTCACACAGGGGAAAAACCGTATCAGTGCTCTGAGTGTGGGATGAGTTTTAATCAAAAAAATAATCTCAAAACACATCAGCGCATCCACACAGGAGAGAAACCGTTCCAGTGCTCTGAGTGTGGGATGAGTTTTAATCAAAAGAGCTCTCTCCAGAAACACCAGCACATCCATACAGGAGTGAAACCATATCAGTGCTCAGAGTGTGAAAAATGCTTTTCTACACAGCTTCGGCTCCATGTGCACCAACGCATTCACACAGGAGAGAAACCGTATCACTGTTCTGAGTGTGGAAAGAGCTTTAGTGTGCGTTCTGCCCTTCAGATACATCAGCGCACTCACACAGGAGAGAAACCGTATCACTGCTGTGAGTGTGGGATGAGTTTTAATCACAAAAGTCATCTCCAATCACATCAGCGCATTCACACAGGAGAAAAACCGTATCACTGTTCTGAGTGTGGAATGAGCTTTAGTGTGTATTCTACCCTTCAGACACACCAGCGCATTCACACAGGAGAGAAACCGTATAACTGTTCTGAGTGTGGAATGAGCTTTAGTGTGTATTCTACCCTTCAGACCCACCAGCGCATTCACACAGGAGAAAAACCATATCAGTGCTCTGAGTGTGGGATAAGTTTTAAACAAAAAAGTCATCTCCAATCACATCAACGCATTCACACAGGAGAGAAACCGTTCCAGTGCTCTGAGTGTGGAATGAGTTTTAATCAAAAGAGTTCTCTTCGGACACACCAGCGCATTCACACAGGAGTGAAACCGTACGAGTGTTCAGAGTGTGGGAAATGTTTTACTACACAGCCTCAGCTCCATGTGCACCAACGCATTCACACAGGAGAGAAACCGTTTCAGTGCTCCGAGTGTGGGAAGAGGTTCACACAGAAGGGTAATCTCCAAATACACCAGCGCATTCACACAAGAGAGAAACCTTTTCAGTGCTCAGAATGCAGGATGAGTTTTACCCACAAGAGTCACCTCAAAGCACACCAGCACATTCACACAGGAGAGAAAACCATATTACTGCTCAGAATGTGGCAAGACTTTCACTCTTCTTCGCAGTCTCCAAAAACACCAGCGTACTCACGCAGAAAAGGAAGCTGGACAGGGGTAGACGGGGTCAGACATCTACACTGTACTTCAACCTCCTTAAACCCCACAGAAGCAGATAAACCAGCATGACCAGAAGTGCTAGTAGATTCTCTTCTTTGAATAAATCTGACAGGACAATTTGCTGTTGTGAATTGAAATTCATTTTATTGCTTTATAATATTACTAATTACTGTACAACTCCATTTCCAAACACATTGGGACGCTGTGCAAAAGACAATGCAATGATGTGCAAATCATTTAAACCCTATATTTCATGAAAAAAAGTACAAAGACAGCATATCAAATGTTGAAACTGAGAAGTGTGTCCTCCGGGCTAAAGACCACTCAGCTTGTTATCATTGCTCAGTTCAAAAGCCATGGTATAGGAGTGCATTAGTACGCATGGCATGGGTGACTGGCATATCTGTGAAGGCACCATTATTGCGGAACGATATATACGTTTTGACAATATATGCAGCCATCCAGACAATGTCTTTTTCAGGGAAGGCCTTGATGATTTCAGCAAGACAATGTCAAACCACATTCTGCAAGTATTACAGTAGCATTCCTCCAAATTAAAAGAGTGTGGGTGCTAAACTGACCTGCCTGCAAGAAGAAGTGATGAAACACAGTGGTAAACATGCCCTCGTCCCAATTTTTCCTTTAAAAATAGGGTTTAAATGATTTGCAGATCATTGCATTCTATTTTCATTTATATTCTGCACAGCGTCGCAACTTTTTTGGAAATGGGGTTGTACTTCTCTAATTTTACTGTTTGAAATACCTTTGGAAATGAATTTTTGTTCCACTATGTAAATTTAAGTGTTAGCAAATGAACCTTTAACCTGGCAAAAGAAAGTGTTGTAGGTATTAATACACTGTGAAAATGCAGTTATGATTTGATACTTTGATTATTTGAAATATATTTGGTGTCAGCACTGTCTTGCTGCTTACGTACATGGTTCATTTAAAGTCCGTACCATTCATTCAGTTCTTGTATATTTAGTTGTATTTGTAATTTTGGTAACACTTTACATTACTGTTTTGTAGTTAGTAAGTAACTAATCAGGAACTAAACAGGAATGAATAAGTAGTTCTGCATTAATGCTTAAGTGGCTACTCTTAACTACTAAGGATTACTAGTTTACTACTCAGTAGATAATAGTGAACAAATGATTAGGGTAGTTCACTATTAACTAAACAATAACTACTGAGTCTCTTAGAGAATTACTTAATAACTGTGGCTGCTCATAAATTACTGATCAATTCACCATTAATTGCTCAATAGCTGAGTCTGACAAGGTTCCTGCTGAACTGCTAACTGATGTAGTGTATTCCAACACTTCTAACAGTAGTGAAATACACTACGCAGTGTGCAGTCTCTACAATATAATGGATTATACCCTCCATTTCTATTCACAGAAACAGGTATCCTCAGAAGCCTGGGGGCATTAAACCACACTGTACTGACTGGTGTCCTTCATGTGTTTTGTTTTGATAAGAAACCTTAAAAGGCTAATATACATCCTCATATTTGGCAGTGTGAGCCAATTCGCACATCAGCCTACAAATGGAACAACTACTAAAATACTACAGTATTCAGTAGACCAGTCTGCTTACCTTTCATCAAAGAAAACATCTGTGCTGATGTGTGCTGATGTTTCTTCTGAACAATAGTGTTCCTTTAATGTCCTCTTGAGGGCAGGGTTAGTTGAAGAGAGGGCTCACGGAAATATCTGACTGTGTATGTGTACTACTTTC